CTCACTTTATTCAGCAAGACTGGAATATTCATTAAAATCATAGAAAAGAAAACAATTAAATGATATAGTTCAACATTTTGTCTGCACAAGCTGGCCTTTCTATCAACAACAAAATTGACAGAAAAATACAATCTGAATAAATCAATAGATATAAAAATTTGAATGAATAACGCGTTTTGGTACTGTCTATGAACTTGTTTTCGATATATAGCCATATGATAGTCTCCGTTGAATTCAATCATCAATGCATTCATCGAATGCACAACAACAACAACAATAAGGGAAAAGGTTAATAAAACTACATTAAAACAATTCAGTTCAAAATGAGTGTGTCCTATTTACTTCGATATGCTTTGGCATAATTCGAAGACCACCAATATTTATGGTTACCTGAGTCTATCGGAGGTATTCTTTTTTCGTGTGTGTGTGTGTGTATCCAATAACAAGGAAGAAGATAGTTAAGGTAACACAGTTCAAAGTTTAAATTACAATACCATATCAATCTTCAAGTTATTGATTAACGGTATTCAAGGCTTTGGTTTAAATAACCTAACAAAGTGTATCTATCAGTGCACATGCACAATGGAGGGAAGAGAACTCAAGATTAAAAAATTGATGCTAAATGAAAATAATTTTGTAATATAACAAAGTTGGTGCGTTTGAAGGCGGATCCAAAACTTTTCATAAGGGGGGCCCACTGACTGCCATAAGAGGGGGCCCGCTACAGTCATGCTTCAGTGATTCCCTATATAACCAACCAAATTTTTCCCACGAAAGGGGGGACCAGGCAAGGTAAGATTCAACGTGTCATCAAATTTTACACAAAGGATATAAATATATCAGTGCTGTAAATTGTACTCACAACCCCTCATTGTAAAATATTGTTGTGCATTTTGGAAACAGAATTAGTTTGAAACAATGTGCTTATTGTTGTAGTATTTCGTGTTTTGAAATTTGCAATGATGCGTTGCGCACCAGAAATATCACGTCACACAAATGTTGTTTTTCCTAAAAATCTAAAATATTAGTAAATCCTTCATAAAAATAATATTATTTCTATTTGTCAAAAGACCGGACACATTTTATAACCTACTTTACGGTAGGAGTTTTGATCATACTGTAACCTATAGTTGTTAACATCCTTGTCCTTTGGTCTATGGTGGATAGTTGTCTCATCGCCAATCATACACCATCTCCTTATTTTACACCGTGCTGTGCTTTAAATAAAACACCCGTAAATCCTGCAGTGCGTTCAAATTGATTTATGCAAATATAACTGGCAACGCGGAAAGTTACTTTTTTTTTGTTTGGCTGCCTCTAAAACACAATCAACTTGTCGAGATTGCTTAGTCAAAACTCTAGTTTACCATTAAATTTAGAAAGATCATATCATAGGGAACATGTGTACTAAGTCTCAAGTTGATTGGACTTCAACTTCATTAAAATCTACCTTGAACAAAAACTTTAACCTGAAGCAGGACAGACGGACGAACGGACGAACGGACGGACAAACGAACGGACGCACAGACCGAAAAACATAATGCCCCTCTTCTATCGTAGGTGGGGTATAAAAATACCGAACTCCAAGGTAAATTCAAAAAGGGGAAGTTCACAAAACTGACAAAATCAAACGTTATCAATCAAAGGAAAGAGTGTACTTTTTTTTTATATTCTGGACCTTGTATAGGCATTTTCCGAAGAAAATTGTGGGTTAAACCTATGTTTATTGCTAAATTGTTCCTAACACGAAGAACCAAAACTCAACTGAGGTAAACTTTGTGTGTTGGAGCTAGATTCTTAGATTCTTGATTATTCTAATTGAGCAACGGGGAATTTAAGAAAAGTATGTTAAAAAACAAAGTTATGTCAGTACCGATTCACTAAGTTCTGAGCTAATAATACCATCGGGGACTAACAGTTCAACAGCAGCGATAGCTAACCAGTATAAAAAAAAACAGAAACAACACTTAATTGATCGGTCCGTCCACAGTGTTTTCTTGATTTACCTTCATCAGGAACGCTAAAACCCGAACATATTGAATTAAGTTGAATACGTAAGAGGCTATTTGACCAAAAATGAACCTAAAAATGAATAGCCAAATTCTGCTAAGGTTATCTTTGTTGAAGGAGAACCTTAGTTTCTAAATAATTTTTAAATTCATAGGCGAAATTTTTTTTAGAAAAGTATGCTATAAGCAAGAATCAGGCAATTTAAAAAAAAATCAAAAAAAGGCCGATAAAAACCCCACCGACCTAACCGTCCTATTTTGAAGTTACTCTCATCATGAGTTAGAAATGGTAGGTTTTTTGTTTCTGCGTATCTGGTAATTCCAGAAATCTGTAGATAACTTTTGGTTAGAATGATAGCAAATTACGGAGTTAGCTAACCCTTAATTGTTAATTTCTAGTACATTTCAACCTAATTATATCTTGAAATACCAGAACAGGAAAAGGAAACGAATGTTATATTCGTGCACCTTTATACAATTAGAACATAAATCAATATCAACTTGAGTGGTATTTTGTTGTCATGTTTTCACCACTGCCTGATTCTTAGGCAGATTAGAACTTAAAAACGTGATCCTGCCAAGTTCAGTTTTCAGTGGTAGGTCACATTTTTTAGTTGTTGTAACCTATTGCTACGATTTGAATGGAAAGAGTTAACTAAATGTACTCTATAGTATGGATCTTTCCAGATGATGAAATATTGCAGCTTTTACACATTTTTGAAACATTTGAACAACCATTGAATTTGAGAACGTTGGTATTGGTTGAGAATGCCATATTAATTTATTTGAAAAACATTCAAACATTATATCTTTTAGCCATCTTTTAGTTCAAACTATTCATATGTTAAGAATTACGCTAAAATGTATGTAAGCATTATCTTATACACATATAACCCCGTGATGCTTTAGTTAGAAGATTGTTTAAATGAGACTTGTATGAAATAAGTTGAGGGGAAATTTCTCACTCTCCGTAACGTCAGTACCACATAGTCTTTTGAAACAGACCATCGTGGAAGGTAAGATTCAACTTGTCATCGAAATTTACACAAAGGATATAAATATATCAATGCTGCAAATTGTACTCACAACCCCTCATTGTAAAAAAATGTTGTGCATTTGAAAACAGAATTAGTTTGAAACAATGTGTTTATTGTTGTAGTATTTCGTGTTTTGAAATTTGAAATAATGCGTTGCGCACCAGAAATATCACGTCACACAAATGTTTTTTTTTTTTCTTCATAAAAATCCAAAATAGTAGTAGATCCTTCATAAAAACAATATTATTTCTATTTGTCAAAAGGCCGAACACCTTTTATAACCTTTACGGTAGGAGTTTTGATCATACTGTAACCTATGTGCTTTAAATAAAACACCCGTAAATCCTACAGTGCGTTCAAATATTTTAGATTTAAGCAAATATAACTGGCAACGCGGGAAGTTACTTTTTTTTTTTTGACTGCCTCTAAAACACAATCAACTTGTCGAGATCGCTTAGTGTTGTTTATTTATACAGTAATAATTTCAATGCTTCAATGTGGATAGCTTTAATTCTCGTCAGGACATAAAAATTAAAAAATCATACCTCAGTACGCACTACATTTACGTTGAAAATCAATATAGTTTTACAGATATGTTTATAGCATAAAGTATTATTTATAAATAATACGGGCCCCACCTATTTCGTAGATATAAGTTGTTACCAAACGGGTAGCTTATCATCAGAAGGCTTTTTCGGAAATAGCGTGGTACATCTTTTTCATGTTCTGTTTATTTAGCGATAAACAACATATTCCACGGGAATTTTTTTTTTCGTTTTCTTAGGGGAGGGGTGGTCTATCAAAGTCCTAGGTTTACTTGATATTAACACATACTCATTGCAATCCCACAAATTGATGTTGCTGATCTCTCTCCTCTATGTCACCCAGTCCTGTCGTAAAGCTCATGGTACAATCACGTCCCCTTTCCCCGAATGTGACCTACCGAATTAGACTTATTACCGGGTTTGTACTAACATGAGCAACACAACGGGTGACACATGTGTAGCAAGAGCTGCTTACCCTTCCGGAGTACCTGAGATCACCCCCATTTTTTGTTGGGGTTAGTGTTGCTCAGTCTTTAGTAGTTTCTATATTGTGCTTTGTGTACTATTGTTTGTCTGTTGTTCTTTTTTTTTTGCCATGGCGTTGTCAGTTTATTTTCGACTTATGAGTTTGAATGTCCCTTTGGTATCTTTCGCCTCTCATTTACAGTGTTCCCTTAATTGGTGTTCAACTTCTGTGTAATATAATGTGTTTATTGTAATTGTATTCCGTTTGCATACAAAAAAGTCATTTTATTTCTTTTGCAATTTTTTTTTTTTTTTTTTGGCGTTTTTTTTTTCTTCTTTTTTTTTCTATTACCAGTGCTTGACTAGTTATTCCACTCAATGAGAATTTAACTTTGAACCAATTCGGAAATAGTGCTGCATTATTTTCCTAATCAGTGTTGAATTCTCTTAATTATGTCAATCTAGTATCTAAACAGTTCTAGGGGAATTGCACAAATTACGACCAAAATGTGTAAAGGTGAATATCCATATAAATAGAAAATGTCCAAAAACAATTTACTAAAACCTGTATGTTTTCAAAGATAGTTAGGAACGCCCAACACATCTCTCGATCCCCTCCTGGTTACATGTCTGATTATGTTTATATCTGATATAAACATAAAATTGAGAATGGAAATGGGGAATGTGTCAAAGAGACAACAACCCGACCATAGAACAGACAACAGCAGAAGGTCACCAACAGGTCTTCAATGCAGCGAGAAATTCCCGCACCCGGAGGCGTCCTTCAGCTGGCCCCTAAACAAATATATATACTAGTTCAGTGATAATGAACGCCATACTAAACTCCAAATTGTACACAAGAAACTAAAATTAAAAATAATACAAAACTGACAAAGGCTAGAGGCTCCTGATACAATGCTTTCAGAATGAGTTCATATTATATGTTTAAGATAATGAACATGAAAACAAACTTTTGCTAGTATTGCTACTATCATATCTAAATAAGGGTTCTAATGTACAAAATAATCTCCATTGCCTTTCTTTCCATGTATACGTCGGAAAAGTAAATCAAAAATTGCACAGTGAAATAACAAATAAGATGACTTGACCTCGAAATGATAGAGGCATCTAGTGTATTATACATTATTATGAAATGTGTTTTTAAACTGGGAAGATAGCTAAATAATAGTTAAGATAATCACAAACTGTTCATAAAAGGAGATGGACTGAAGTATTTGGATCCGTTATATTGGCATCACAAAGCTTTATAGTCTTTTCAAACAGGTGATAAAGTTTAGTCTGCGAGGAAATAGAAAACACTTTACAGTCAATGATTTCTCCACAGGCCTTTGCACAGTCAACTTTCGCTTTCAAACCATTACTGTGTATAACTTCTGATTTCAATGGCTGAGTTGAAATGGCTCTACCGTAGAATGCTGTTCCATACTGCTGAAAAGTTGGAACACTTATGACTTCTCCTATAATGTAAATATGAGTTTGTCAATTTACTGTTTGTTTATTGTCACATTATTCAACTAGTTTCACAAAAACAATATGAGTTAGCTCTGGGAAGAATTGGCGCAAAGATTTAAAAGTCATACTTCGTTTAGTAAAATGTGCTTACTTTGTAAATTTTTAGTTATGTAACAATCAGTATTTATATCTTTTACTTAATTCAGAGGTTTCTCGAGACCCGAAAGAAGCCATATACAACTTTGATATGATGAAAAAGGCTACGTGTGATTTTTACGCAGCCATGTCCGATCAGATTATTGACGGTAATTTAGATGCCTCGTGTAAAGAAAGATAGTGTTATCATGGCAAAATAAGAATATTTCGCTAAACTAGTATATATTATTGTTCAGGGGCCAGCTGAAGCCCGCTTCCGAGTGCGGGATTTTCTCGCTGCGTTGAAGACCCATTTTTGGCCTTGGGCCGTTTTCTGCTCTTTGGTCGGGAAGTCGAAAATCCAAAATCGGAAAGAAAACATATTTCGCCTTTTCGCGTTATCGTGTTTTCGCGTTTTCAACTTTGCGTTTCCGCATTTTCGCCTTTTCGCGTTTTCGATTTTGCGTTTTCGCATTTTTGGACTTCGCGATTTCGCGTTTTCGCGTTTTTGCCCTATAGATATGAAGGACGAAAACGCGAAATGACCTTAACCGGCCATCATAATAGACACTTTTGATGTTTTCAGGTTTTGTTTCCGTCTTATTTATGTTGAAGTATCTAAAACTTTTTTAAACACACGTCAAATGTATCGGATGTAAATATATAACGAATCTTAAACCTATGCCTGTAAAACATGTACTTAAAAAATTCAGTCTAAAATAAAACCCGTACTTATACGATAAATAGAGAGTCTCCAATCTGCACCACACATTTGTGTCCAATTCCCATAACACGGTGTATTACATTGTGCATCGCTGACATTTGGATGGCTTACAAGATCCAAGTATGGGTCATTACCACAATGGCACCATTGTCGCGACTGAAAAAGACAATTACGAGACAAAGAGAATTATTTTTTGTGGGGAAAACTGTCTAACTTATAATATATTTATTTCAAGTACTTGCAGAATTTGTAACATTATATTAATGCTTGGTTAAGCTCTATTTTACGAAAGTTTTTGGCTTGGTCAGCTCTTCGATGTTTGTATTAGGTTTTGGATTAATAAATATATCTCCATCGAGCATCACTGACGAGACATTAATTGTCGAAATGCGCATCTGGTGCAGTAATATTGTGTTTCCTACCACTAGGTCGATACCATTGTTGGATGACTGTTTGCCCCTGTCGGTATCATTAGCCCAGTATATATGTACAGTCTTTCTGTACTGGCATTTAGATACGGATATATATTGTTTTATTGAAATTTTCTGTTATAAAATATTGCAAACTATCTTGAATTAAAGAATATATCTCCCTCATACTAAAACACTGGTTCCTTGTCCGGATTTGGTTATACTTCATTTTCTGTTTGAGTTAATCAGCTCTTGAACGTATGTATTGAGTTTTCATTTTATTAATATTTTAGTTTCGAGCATTACTGAAGAGACATGTATTGTCGAAAAGGAGCATCTGGTACAGTAAAATTTGTACCGTCAATTTTATTTTGATTATTTCTCTCGGGACTCTAGATCTTTTGGATATCTGGTTCCCTGACCTTTTTCTGTGTTTTGCTCTTAAGGTATTGTTTGTTTGTTTGTCCAATGTTTTTTACTGATTTCTGTGTTTATAAATCGAAATTATCACACGCAGATATGTTTTAATGTTCAGTTAAAAACACATCTAGCAATGAATGCCGCTCCTACCGATGCGAGGTGGCAGCTTAAATATACAGGGAGAACAGAGATTTTGGTCCATATAAGATAAGAAGTTTTGGTATGATTGCAAATGAGGCAACTGTCCAACAGAGTTCACAAAACTTGGATTTAAGCAATCATAGGTCACCATACAGCCTTCAACAATGAGCAAAGTCTATACCATGATGCAATTCAAATGAAGACCTAGTGAAGGTTTCACGGTGACTTTTGGATGTAGAACAGACACACTGATTTATTGCTTTAGTAAAATTTTATTTTTACTTTGCTTTTTGCATCTGTATGTCTAGTGATTTTGTTTCATTACTGAAAACACATTTCCTTTCTTTTTCTATAACGACGTCGAAACTGTGTGTAGGACAAATATTTATTGAACCAGCTAAAAGCGGTACTATTGTGTAAAAGAATGTTGGTGTCAGCTTTTAAGGTCCGCCATCATTTATTGTAATAAATAAATGATAGGGTGTTGATATCTTTGTAATTAGCATGGTCTGCTTATTGTGCGTTTCCCTAAGACTCTCAACAGAAGAACTACTTCTGTGAGATCTGGGTATGGATCTTTACATGTTGGGGGAACAATACCTAGGATGGTATAAGGCATATCTGTCGCTGTAGAGATTGCCGGAATCGACTGACACCTATTAAGAAGAGGTTCGCATTTTGGCGAGCCAGCTCCAATTCAAGATTATATAGCAGTACGCGCTGATGCTATGGCAACGTAATTTTCGTAGTTATTATAGCCAAATATCGAATTGTCCAAAAGTAAGGCTAATTCGTAAGATGTTTAAGAACAGATGTTTATATTAGGTCCAAAGTTATATAATAAATGTTGACCTGCTTGTGATGTTAATTTAATTCATATCTCATCAAAGATTTGTTCCATCAAGAAATAGTTAATTATTCATTTGCGTTAATTTTGTAATGATGACGATAGTGTCTTAGAAGATTATTTAATTAGTATTGACAATACCCAACTATAACTTGTAGTATTGATATTGACCCAAAGTAAAGTGAAATAATAGTTTCTGACTTTGTTCGTTATAAAGTTTTATCAAATATATTATCACAATAGTACTATCTTCGGATAATCACGACTTACATGTTTACTACTAAATTGAATCATCTACAGATTGGACACAAATTAAAAAGGGCAATTCTAAAGAGAGAAAAGTAAGAGACCATTATTGGAGGTCACGGACCTTGTTTTATCGTTAAAATATGTTTAAACGAACGAAATCACAGTTATTTTAAATGGGTTACATAGAGGAAAGTTAACTTGATTTTTTTTCTTATTGAGGAAACATTAAACGATAAAATTGATTAAAATTCAATGAGAAAATAGCTTTTCATCAATACTTCGTAGGTATCAAACAAAGGTATGGGGTCACGGGTCTTATTTTCTTGAAAAATAAAAATCACCAATTAATGTCCTATCAAATTCAATGTAGTTATCTGCCCTTGATTTTAAAATGATTCTTTATGAAAAAAATTAATACACATAACAACATTTTGATAGTTGAATCTTAGGTTTTCAAGTTTTAGATGTTTCTTTTGTATATATTATGATACTTGGTAAAATATTTGTAAACCAAAAAAGTATTCTTAAACTATGCCCACAAGGAATGCTAAGAGAAAGTCATGGATGTTGCGCTGTACTTGGACTTAAAGTTATCACTTTTAAATACCACGTGATTGTTTTCTGCCAATCAAAATCATGGAAATATTTCATGTATTATGAAACATCAATAACATGTAAATTTACGTAACAATTACATTTCTTTACCTGCAATCCGGCATATTTAAACCCATCATCTGTACATCCAAGTATACAGAAGTCTATGGTCAAGCTTAAAAAATGTGTGCTTCCATATACATAAGGAAACTTTCTGATAGGATCGGAATCTACAAAACAGCCTATGTAATCTGCATGGCCTGAAAAGAAAACAATTCCATCATTATACGCTTGAATATATTCCTTCGTAGCTATAACTTGGATAGAGAAGGCGTATAGGGTGAATATACGTGAGACCAAATACCGGTACTATGAAATAGCCAATATATCAAATAAATAGCGCTTTTTTTGTTCTTCGTCTAGACTGTTATTGTTATGTCTTCAAAAGTAAACTTAAAAGTTGCCCATATTGCAGTGAAGCCCCAACACAACATATCCTCTTTTTCGAAGTCGCAGTCCCAATTTCCGGCCAACTCAAGTTCATCCCGGTCAACCCATTATTAATTTACATATAACTGACTCTATTTTAAAAGAGTAAAATCCATTTTATTCCTTTTTATAAGCTTTTTCAATGTTTACCATAAATGAATGCAGATTTCATAAAGAAACACACAATTTTTACAATCTTCCATGCTTTTATTCTTATAATTGATAAAACTTACATTTAGTGTTCGGGAAATTTCCCAAAATATATGAAAGTTGTAAATATTTGTGGTAAAAATGTATGTGACAACTTTTTATTCGGGAATTTCCCCGAAATCACTTTCAACATTAATTAAAACTTTTGGTAGCATAGCTATGTGACAAGCAGATCTTAAACACATTTCGGGAAAAATCCCGAAAAAATAATCTAAATGTAAAATGTATAAAGCATATATGTCTTCAAACATTTCGGGAATTACCCTGATTACCCAACATATAAATATGCTATAACTTATAACTTATGACTAATGATTTCTTTTCAAATTTCGGGAAAAAGCCCCAAAAAACTAAATCACTTATCAAGCATGCTTTTGTTGAATAGATTTCTTTAACCATTTCCGGTAAAATCCCGAAACCAAATTTACAAAAATTTATGTTACAGATTTCTTCAAACATATCGGGAAAAATCCCGAAAAAAACAAAATCTATATGCAAGATTTTAAATACTTCGGGATTTATCCCAAAAACCCAACGTATATGCTAGAACTCATGACTAATAATTTATTTTCACATTTCGGGAAAAATCCCGAAATAAAACTACAAGCAAAAATTATGCTACAGATTTCTTAAACATATTGGGAAAAATCCTGAAAAAGAAAATCTTTAAGATTTTACAACACAGAATTTTGATACATTTGAAAAGTTTTTATGTAAGTTTGTTTCCAACATTTGTTGAAATTTGATGATTAATAAAAGAAAATGTGTCAAATAGAAAAAAATATGAGATAAGTGCATATTACAAATTAAACATAAATATAATATTCCATTAAATAAACTGTTAACACAGATATAAATCTTATCTTTATGTATTTTTTGTTGTAAAATTCAAATGTGGAAATAAAATGGCATTACTTAAACTTATAAACTATGCAAAATAATTAAAATAGATGTACTAGGATTGAAAGAGCAAGGTTTTAAAAATTATTTCTCAATTAAAAAGACAAAGATTGATAGATATGGTATAAAATAATTCATATATGCAATTACTACGCACTAGTTAACTAATAAACTCACATATAGAACTACAATCACAACAATGTTTTATAAATAGCGGTTCCATTTATGGAGATAAAAGGTACCAACAAGATTTTCAGGATGTATAAAATAGAGAATGGAAATGGGGAATGTGTCAAAGAGACAACAACTCCACCATAGAGCAGACAACAGCCGAAGGCCACCAATGGGTCTTCAATGCAGCGAGAAACTCCCGCACCTGCAGGCGTCCTTCAGCTGGCCCCTAAACAAATATGTATACTAGTTCAGTGATAATGGACGTCATACTAAACTCCAAATTATACAAATTATGCCTATACAAATAAGATGATAATGCATTATTACATTTATACCAAAAAACGTCAACAGTTTGAAAGATATCAGAAAGTCTGCAGTCCTTTAAACTACAAAATGAACTATGTTTGGCATTCTTTTCCTCTTGTTTATCTTCATATCTGTGTCTTTTAAGACTCTCGTCAATTTGTCCTCCAAGATTTCTATGTATCCTACAAAGAAAAGTCACTTCAAGTTCAATATTTTAAAGTCCTTCAGGCATATTATTCATGATTGTTTTTGTCGATATATTTTGTCCTTTCTTATAATAGATGATTTTGTTATCACAGGACCTTTCATAGCTTACTGTATGTCATTTGTTTTGTTCAATATTTGAAGCCATATCACACTGATGATTTTTAAATATTGTTCTTATTAAGGCAGTTGTCTCCTTAGCAATCATACTGCATCTTTTTTTTTCTAATCTGGTGTTCTCATTTTTTGATACATATGTTACTTTACCGATTATTACCTGCAAACAAATGGGGAAAACTGGAAAAGTTTTAAAAAATAAAACATTTTTTTTTTACTTTTAGAGTTAGCATTAGGATTAGCAATCATACTACAGATATCTTCTTCTCTAAAAGAGAGGCAAAGTTCTAATCCTATTAATTTAATTATGTTACTTTACCAATAATTGTCTTAAAACAAACAAGGCAAATTTAAATGGTTTTAAGAAAAATTTGTAAGGGGTTCCTTAGAACCCAGTGTTAAGGAACCCAGTGTCTCGCCTGTGATTGCAGCTGTCAATGTAAAGCTGACTTTAACAGTGAGCACAGATTTTACTTGAAAAGACTCAACATTAGACTGTACTTAACTGTACTTGACTTTTGTCTACAATTTAACCTAATGAGTCTAATACAGTACTTGATAATCTTGGTAAGGTCTTGCCAAATGCTCAACTAGTCTAGACCAGTCTCTACTTAGTCTTGACCAATCTCAACTCAGTCTCGACCAGTCTTGACCCAGTCCCCACCCGTCTTGACCTTTAAAGGAGTAAGTTCGGTAAGGGTCATATTAGGCCCCGATAATTAAGTTTAATTTTTCAAGATAATAAATGTTTTAAAGGGATAAAAAGACATGTGAGAAAGTTGAATAGAACTTTTTTGTCAAAGTTGTAGTTTTAAAGTGATGATTTTTACATCCCAAATAGGTCAAAAATAGAGATTTTTGCGAAATTTGACCAAATCGTCCAGATTTCAAACAAATTAAGGCCTAGGAAACATAGAGTGCAGGCGTCGACCAACTAAATACTTAAGCCAGATATGTTAAATGTGATAACAAACATTTTGTTAAAAAAAGCTTTTTTGTCGACGCATGCGCTCTATGTTTCCTGTCCAAAAAATCATTGGAAATTTACCCGTTTTCATTGAATTTTTGTTGAAAATCAAAGTGAGTGCTATCTGTGACGTCATGAATAGAACAATGTAGAACGCAAGTACGTAAATTTTCAACAAAAAGACATATTTTCTATCTAGTCATTGTATTAGCTATGATTCATTGTGATATTGGTCAATAAATCCTATTTGAAATTGTAGCTATAAATAGGGGCTGTTTTAGGGTGTTATGGAACCTACTCCTTTAGTCTCGACTGGTCATAAATCAGCCCATCTATATCAATTATGTATTGATAAGGTTATTTTATAGTTTGGTTTATTGCTGTCAAACTTAAGGATTTAATTAATAGGTATAAAAGCTACAATGTTCAGTTTGAACCAAATTCTGACAGTCACCTTTAAAAATTTCTATATCTTTTTCAAATCAACCTGGATTTTGAAAAAAATGTAAAGCTCACGATCATCATTTTTGCTTTTTAAAATTTCTATTTTTCTATCATAAAATTAAAGAAAGAAAAAATCACTCACAGGCAATAAATCAACTGAAGATTTTGGCCATGTGACTTATTTGTAGATGTTATGGTGTTGATCATTTTTATTATTCAAACTGTTTCCCTCTCTTTACTATAGTTTTCAATAGGGCTAACAACAAAAAAGATGTGTTTCGATTTGCTGTCCAACCCTAATTTATCGGCTCTGACAAAAAAATCAAAATCAAAAATTCTTCCTTAGCATATGTCCCTAATTTGCACTATTTGTGAACATGAATGCTAATAATTTAAACAATTGGCCAGCTAATGTGTGCTTGCAGTACACTTGATTATATAAATACAACCATAAATCTAATATATATACATGATATACAAACATTCATGACAGTTTCAAACTTCAAAACATTTGAACAAAAGTTCAAAGAACTTCACTATGAAATTAGTAAGAAAATATCCTGACCTACTGACCCTATATTTTTTTTTACATGCAACTGGAAACACACATACATGACATAATATTTTTTTGGCATAGAAAATATTTCAACAAGAGTGCAATACATTCACAAATGTCATGCCTGCTTTACTTATGATTGAAAATATGACGCTTTTACTACAATTATCGCATTAACTTGATCCATAAATGATCCATGAAAATGAAGTCACGGTCAGTTTAACCAGTCAAGCAAATACAGCTTACAATCATTTCATACACCAATATAGTGGCCTTATTGCTACTATTATCTGAGAGATAGACCCAACCACAAAAACTAAACATTGTGCAATGAACCAGGAAATTGAGGTCAAGGTCAGATGATACCTGTCAGTTGCACATGTATACCTTACAATCACTCCATACACCAAATATATGACCTACTGCTTAAAGGATATGGATAAGGACTTGACCACCTTACTTGTCCGAATGGAATTGTAACTTGTCCAAAAAAAATCTTAATATTAACCTTTTTTGCATTTTAAGCTGATTCAATGAACAAAATGAGTTAAAACAATGGAACAGAATTTGATTATTATCTCTTGATATCCTTTTTAAAATATGAGTCGAGAACAACTAAATCTAGTATTCATCAAAACCAAAGTCTCATCCGACTCAGCACATGAGGCACAGTCTTGTATGCCTGCTAGTCATAATACACTCATTTGGTTTGTATCCTGGTCTTTTATGTTAAAAATATTGATTATTATGATTGATGCCCTACTACCAGTCAGGGGACATATTGAAATAAGTGATTTTTAAATCACTTATTTAAGTAGCAAATTCAAAGTTTTGTCACAAATTGTGATTTAGTAGTTTTACCAAAATTTAGACACATATATAGGTTTAGATAATATCTTTTCATTTAAATAGTAAAATTGAAAAAAAATGAACTTTTTGCTTCTTTTAAGCAGCAAGGTTTATGCCTTCGATGCAATCATTTAGCTGCAAATTCTATTTTAGTTGTAAAAATGCTATAAAAATGGCTTTACATAATGAACTGATACTTTCTTAACAGATTTTTCCCAGCAGTGGGAGTATTTTTCCTGTAAAATTCAAGGTTTCATCTTATAGATTATGTAAGAAAATTATACTGTTTGCGAAATGTTGAAATTAGTGGGGTTTTTAATAAAATAATGATGCTTAATGGAGTGATTTTTTGGTGGGAAATTAAGGTATGATACTTAAACAAGTGATTTTTATGTCATTATCCTAGATTTAGTACAAGGTTATCACCTGACATGACCCGGTCATCCTATGAACACAGATGTTGGTTCTGATAATTTTAGCAACATAATTAGTCCCTGGATCATTAGTATTCTATATTTAAAGCTACAATAAAATTAAATCACTTAGTCTAGTGATTAATTTGTACTACTTAAATAGGTGATTATTAAAGAAAGACAACTCTTACTTCTAACCTTTATGGACATTATGTTACTTGAATCAGTGATTTTGAAAACCACTCATTTAAGTAAGTCCCCTGACTGACTACAATCAGCTGTTTTAATATATTAAAATGTTTATTCAAACGCAATCAAATATTGTTTTGTCTACATACGATCAAATATAATTTTCTGAATTTAAAAGTCAATAATTTATTCATGTTTATTTTAATAATATTTTTGATAAATAAAATTTATAATATTTATTATAAAGCAACAGAATAAGGAAAGGAAATGAGGTACTGGGTTGTCTTGGTCCCAAAATATCTCCTACAGTGCCAAACTGTCGATTACACATGGAGCCGATTCGTTTCCGTGCTGGTGCCAAACTGTCTTGTTACTACCTTATCTACAAAGCAGTAAGACCGGATTCGAGATAGTATGCGATAGTATGCGTTTTATCTGTTAATAAACTGCTTCGCTGAGCGCAGCTGGATACGCCCGCAGAGGTCAAACCCTGAACAGTTGGGGCAAAAATGGACACAATATTCAAGCTTGATACAGGTCTGAATTTGGACTGTAATTTAATATTTGACATATAGGTTTCTGAATAAATGTAGTCAAAGAACTTGAAATTGGTTATATGAATTGAATTTATATTCAATTCAAGATTTCTTGCTGTTGTGCAATACACTGTGCCGTTGCGCAATACTTAGTAAATCTGTTGTCAGACTATAAACAAATAAAGTTCAATTAATTCTCAATGTCATATTAGAAATTTATAAAAATGAAAAGGGAGCTTACATCAATAGATATAAACAATTCACCAAAGTTTCATGAGAATTGCTGATAACATTTTTGAGTTATTGTCCGAAAACTGGAAAACCCTCCCTTTTTTAATGAATAAAACCCCATAACTCAGAAATGATAAATGAAAAATTTATAAAATTCTAAATGGAGCTTACATCAATAGATATATAAACATTTCACCAAAGTTTCATAAGAACTGCTGAAAGCATTTTTGATTTTTTGTCCGAAAACTGGAAAAAATACCCCTTTTTTTATGAATAAAACCCTGTAACTCTGAAACGTCATATCTAAAATTTATAAAAAACGAAAGGGAGCTCATGTCAATAGATATAAACAATACACCACAATTTCTTGCAAGTTGGTGAAAGTATTCTTGAGTTATTGTCCGAAAACTGGAAAATCCCCCTTTTTTTAATGAATAAAACCCCATAATTGGAAACGTAAAATCTAAAATTTATAAAAATCAACAGAGACTCATGTCAATAGATATAAACAATTCACCACAATTTCTTGCAAGTTGGTGAAAGCATTCTTGAGTTATTGTCCGAAAACTGGAAAATCCCCCTTTTTTTAATGAATAAAACCCCATAACTCGGAAACGTAAAATCTAAAATTTATAAAAAACGAAAGGGAGCTCACGTCAATAGATATAAACAATTCACCAAAGTTCTATGCAAATTGGTTAAATTGTTTTTGAGTTAATGTCCGACATGTTGACGACGGACGGACAGACAGACAGACGGACGGACAGACAGACGGACGGACGGACTGACAACGGTATACCATAATACGTCCCGTAAACGGGCGTATAAAAAGTATCTGACAAAGAACCAGTATTAAATTATTGGTTGCAAGTAATTACTTTTATCGTCAAAGTTGGATTTAATATTTTTTTTCTACAGAATGATTTAACTTGTCCCGTCGGACAAGCTTCATATAGCTTTTACTTGTCCGACCTTTTTTTCCTCTGGTACCGGACAATCGACACACATTATTGTTGAGCCCTGCAGTGGTTAAAGGAGATGATTTTTGTAAAAAATAATGGATGACTGATGCTAAGTGATGAAAATAGCTTACTTGACCAAACCAGTCAGGTGAGCAAATAATGTGGGACAATCGTGAAGATGATTCATAGACAATTCAGAAGTTTAATGTTGAGCAATCAGGAGTTGTTTTGATAGTATTTTAATTGTGAAACAGCACATTTTGTTAGACATAACATATTTTTGCACACTTACAAACTTTCAAACTTACCTTTCACATCTTCCCATATTTGACTAAGAAAGTCCTTGAACTTCACAGAGAATTGTCTAGGCTAACTGCATGTCCTATGGATATATGTCAATCTGAAATAAGAACAGAATATTGGCCTAAACCTCATGCTGAAAATGTTTATCCTCCATAGCTTTTTTTTTACATATGAACTGCTTGAAAGCACAATTTAAAATGGTGATTTGCACCTAAATGGGTGGACATTGAATCAACTCCTATGAAATTTTGTCTATGAAATTAGACCAGAGATATGATTCTCACCTAAATAGGTGGATATTGGATCAATTTCTATGAAATTATGTCTAGAAAAGGAACGAAGTTGAAAATAGATATAATATATCATTCAGTACAAATTATCATTCTCAAGCAGAAAACTTCAAAAAGTATTCAGGAAATACTTGCATCTTATTAAAACAAATTCTACAATAGGTGCCAAATTCCATAAAACCTATCAATGGGATTAAAAAAAAAAAATAGAAACATTGGTGAATAAGTGAAACAAAGCTATAAAATAATTTATATAAACCTCACAGTTCCTACTAACATTTAACTGTGCAGAACTAATTAATGACCATCATGTAAACAACACATGTAAACTGATATTCTTAAGACCACACTTCCTTACTATGAAACACTTAATTCAAAATTGGTTAGAATTGTTTGAAAAACAAAAAATTAAAATGCAAATTCTAATTAACAAATTAAAAAAAACAATTCAAAAACTATTTAAAAAATCAAAAATTAAAACTGTAATAAATTAAAAAAAAATAAATGAAAAGAAATAAAAGTAAAACAGTAATTAAAAAAGAAGTAAATGAAAAAATGGGGAATGTGTCCATGGGGCACAGATGATGCCCCCACTTGCATATATATCATTTAAAGTTATAAAGGGACATAACTGAAGAACGGTAAAAGTGACGCTACCCAAATTTGTTAATGATCTGAGTTTTGTAGTAATAAGTATTGTGTATAAGTTTCATAACATTTGGTTGAGGCAAACTTAAGTTAGAGAACGGAAACGAAAAATTCAGCAATTTTTCCATTTGTAAAGGGCATAACTCTATAACGGTTAAAGTGACGCCACCAAAATTCAAACTTGATCTGTATTCTGTAGTAATAAGTATTGTGTATAAGTTTCGTAACATTTGGTTGAGGCAAACTAAAGTTAGAGAACGGAAACCAACTTTGGGACATACGTACGGACAAGGGTAAAACTTAATGCCTCCTCCGCTACGGCAGGGGCATAAAAACAAAAATTTGTAAGGGTTCCGCGGAACCCAGTGTCTCGCCTACTTTTGCTGTTAATCGCAGGCTAAACAAAATTGAGGAAAAAAATCAATAAAAATATTCCTTTAGATACTATCTTTTGATTGTAAGAACTTCTGTCAAAGCTTGGTATAAATCCAGGATAGTTTATGAATCTAATAAATGTTTTAAAAACTTTAACTGCAGACTGTATTTAATGTTAACTGAAAGAAAACTAAGTCCATTTATAAATAAAATACAGATAAACAGGTACAAAATTTTAACAAAATTTCCTTCTAGATACTAGCTTTTGATCATAAACAAGCTTCTGTCCAAGTTTGGTACAAATCCAGGATTTAAAAATTAGTTTAAGAAAGTTATTAAAATTTTAAAAACTTTAACCACAGAGTGAATGTATTGTTTCCTGGCAGAAAAACTAAGTCCATTTATAAGTAAAATGCGGAAAAAATAAAAAAAAATTTTTAACAAATTTACTTCTGGATACTATCTTATGATCATAAACAAGCTTCTGTCCAAGTTTGGTACAAATCCAGAATAGTTTAAGAAAGTTATTAAAATTTTAAAAACTTTAACCACAGAGTAAATGTATTGTTTCCTGGCAGAAAAACTAAGTCCATTTATAAGTAAAATACAGAAAAAATGAAATTTTTTTTTTAACAAATTTACTTCTGGATACTATCTTATGATCATAAACAAGCTTCTGTCCAAGTTTGGTACAAATCCAGAATAGTTTAAGAAAGTTATTAAAATTTTAAAAACTTTAACCACAGAGTGAATGTAATGTTTCCCGGCAGAAAAACTAAGTCCATTTACAAGTAAAATACGGAAAAACAGGAATTTTATTTTTACAAAATTTACTTCTGGATACTATATATCTTATGATCATAAACAAGCTTCTGTCCAAGTTTGGTAGAAATCCAGGATAGTTTAAGAAAGTTATTAAAATTTCAAAAACTTTAACCACAGAGTGAATATTTGTGGACGCCGCCGCCGACGAATACGCCGACGGAATGTAGGATCGCTATGTCTCGCTTTTTCGACTAAAGTCGATGCTCGACAAAAAAACAAAAGGGATGGTTTCTGATGAAGGTTTTCCGAAATAACCCGGAATATTGCATTAATGTACATGATGTAAGGCCAGAGATATGATTCCCACCTAAACATGCTAAATGGGTGGATATTGGATCAATTTCTATGAAAATTATTACAACTAGGAATGTCTAAAAAACTGAATTATAGCAAAATTTGTTTTGAAACAAGAGGCTTTGTATCACTCACCTGATGAACAAAACACCAGTTTACTAGGACTTTTAAATGCACAAACTATACAGCTGTATATAATATATATATATAGGTACTGTTTGTGTTGCTGATCACTTTTGCATTTAACAGGTTTAACCTAACCTATATGTATAAGTTAATAGATATCAAGCCAAACTGTAAAAAAAACAGTAAATATCAACGTTTCAGGGGCAATAACTCCAAAATCAGAAATCAATGTTAAAAATACCATTAAAGAACATACATGACATAGATCTTGTCATGCTGATCATTTTTGCAGACAACACTTTTAACAGGTCTATCTCCTACAGTTTTCAAATGACAGCAAACAAGAATGTGTCCATAGTACATAGACGCCCCACTTGCACTATCATTTTCTATGTTCAGTGGACCGTGAAATTGGGGTCAAAACTCTAATTTGGCATTAAAATTAGAACAATCATATCATAGGGAACATGTGTACTAAGTTTCAAGTTGATTGGACTTCAACTTCATCAAAAACTACCTTGACCAAAAACTTTAACCTGAAAGACCAAAAACTTTAACCTGAAGCGGGACAGACAGACATACGGACGGACAAAGTAACGGATGCACAAACTGAAAAACATAATGCCCATAAATGGGGCATAAAAACTCCTAAAAGTAAGAAAAATAGGTATTTCAGGGGCAATATATAAAAATAAAGTAATCTTTTTATTCCTTGGTGGATAAATCTGTACATCTTGTCAAGCTGATCATTTTTTCTAATTTACACTTGAATTTTAGCAAGCTCCAATAATTTTTAAATTAAGTGGTCATGTTGACTTATTTAAAAATATATGTCTTTTATACATTTGTGCAGTTAAAAGTTGTCTGTACCTATCATAGTTTCTGCAAAAAATAAAAAAATTGGGTAAAATATTCATTCAAGGGAAATAACTGCTTTAAAGGATCAATTAATGATTTAAATAATGTAAGTCCTATTCCCAGATCTTACTTTGCTGAACATATTTATCACTTAAACATGTTAAAGTTTCTCTTTTTCTATCATTGTTTCTGCAAAAAACATAATTTTAGGTAAAAATAATTTTTCAAGGGCAAAAACTGCTATAAACAGGATAAAGGATCAATAGACTGTTTCAGTCATGTAAGCTTATTCACAGATCTTACTTAGCTGAACATATTTACCACTTAAAGTGTCTCTCAATCTATCATATTTTCTACAAGAAACTCTAAAATCTATTACAATTTTGTGTTTCAAGGGCAATGACTCATATAAGGATCCATACTACTGTTTTGCTGTTTAAAATTTATCTTTATCTGAAATTGTTTTCAATATGACAATCAGTGTTACCAAGAACATAATAAAATGCTCCGCTGGGGTGCAGCTTGATACAACCGCAGGGGTCGAACCCTGAACAGTTGGGGCAAGTATGGACACAACATTCAAGCTTGATACAGCACTGAATTTGGATTGTAATTAAATATTTGACACAGCATAGGTTTCTGACACAGAATGAAAGTGGTCTAAGAACTTAAAAAATTCTAATTTACCTATTCAAACCATATCATTATTATTTGCTTTTATATAAAAATCAGAAATAACCAATTTAAAATGGTAAATTTTAAAGAAAAAAAAGGAAAAAAAAATCCCCCCCCCCCCAAATTATTTGAACCCCCTTATGATTCATCACCCCCAAACTCAATCCCAGCCTTCCCTTTGTGGTATGGTACCTTGCAGCACAATTTCAGAGAGATCCATACACTTGAACACAAGTTATTGTCTGGAAACTAGAAAAATGCTTGTTTTTTGGCCCCTTTTTGGCCCAAAATTCCTAAACCTTTAGGGCAATTACCCCCAAACTCAAACCCAGCTTTCCCTTTGTGATATGGAACCTTGCAGTACAATTTCATAAAGATCCATACACTTACACACAAGTTATTGTCCTGAAACTAGAAAAATGTTTGTTTTTTTGCCCTTTTATGGCCCCTAATTACTAAAATTTTGAGGGAATTAACCCCAAATTCAATCCCAGCCTTCCCTTTGTGGTATGGTACCTTGCAGTACAATTTCAGAGAGATCCATACACTTGAACACAAGTTATTGTTTGGAAACTAGAAAAATGCTTGTTTTTTGGCCCCTTTTTGGCCCCAAATTCCTAAACGTTTAGGGCAATTACCCCCAAACTCAAACCCAGCTTTCCCTTTGTGATATGGAACCTTGCAGTACAATTTCATAAAGATCCATACACTTACACACAAGTTATTGTCCAGCAACTAGAAAAATGCTTGTTTTTTTGCCCTTTTTTGCCCCTAATTCCTAAAATTTTGAGGGAATTACCCCCAAAATCAATCCCAGCCTTCCCTTTGTGGTATGGTACCTTGCAGTACAATTTCAGAGAGATCCATACACTTGAACACAAGTTATTGTCTGGAAACTAGAAAAATGCTTTTTTTGGCCCCTTATTCCTAAACTTTTTTGGGCAATTACCCCGAAAATCAATTCCAGCTTTCCCTGTGTGATATGGAACCTTGTAGTACAATTTTA